ACGTCCGGTAATAAATTTTTTTAAAAAACAAATAATAACGCGAAAACGTATTTAATCCGAAAAGTAATCGTAGTAATTGATAACTTTCGGAAGAACTAAGTTTCGGATGTAATATTTTTATAATTAAATATGGTTAGGACCAAATATTTTTTTTTAAATATATTTTATGGAATAAAATATTTTTGTGATAAAATATGAATCCGGTGAAATATTTTCGGGTATTTTAGGCAATCCTATATTTATTTCAAATGGTCTTTGTTTCACTGAAAAATTATGTTAAATAGTTTAGAAATTTACCAACTACAAAAAAGAAACAAAACCATTATACATATTAAATATTGACTATAATTACGTGAGACTTAAAAGTATTTAAGTTTAAACTTATGCACATTTTTCTATTTGCTATGACCCAAATATGAAAAACTTAATTAGTTTTTTCTTATAATTTATTCAACATATATATTTAATGCAGTTACTGTTTAAAGATTTAATGGTAAAGTTATCAATAATTAAATATTTAGGCATTATAGTTATTAATTACTTATCGTTTTTCAAGTGTTTATTTTTACTAAATAATAAAATTAATTGAATATGATACATAATCGAAGAACTTCGTTATTTTAGTGCTTTATAGCATTTATATTACTACTTAAAATTTTTTTTACGTTTAATTTAATTTCGTATTTTTTATCAACATAATTGTGCGACATATAATTGTTATTCAGTATAGTCATAATATTGTACCTAAGTACTTAGAAATACATTTTTATGAACATTTCAAGTGTTGAACTTATTTACAATCATCTAATCTAAATGGTAAAATGTATAAAGATGGCTTTTCAATTCTTTGTCGAAGTTGTGCAATGTTTGTTTTGTTACAAACCCATTTCATATAGTATTATGAATTAGAAAAAAATATTTAATCTCACGCATTTTAGTATATTTACAGGTGCTAAGACTTTAAAAGATATAAACAATTAAAAATTATAAAGGCCTAGTTCGATTATACTTACACGATTTTCGTTTAGAGGTTTACGGGAATATTTTGACTGCAAATGTCACACGGTAATATTGATTAATTAATATCATATAGTATTCAATAGTTTTTTAAATTAAATTTAATGGAGATAATCCTTCAATAATTATAACACACAAAATCTAAGTCTAAAAAAAAATATTAACAAAAACACTCGTGAGTGTATTGTAGCAGTTTTGATTGAATGGATTTTTTAAATAATATATCAAGATATTTAAAATATCAAAAAAAAAAATTAAAATTTTAGATTATAAATCGGAGATCTTTATAATTATTTTAATGTACTAGAGTTTATTTTTTTTTTGCGTTACAGTAGGTTTTGAATTTCTTTGTCATTGAGGAGGAAGTTATTGTAATATTATATGTGTTCATAAATTATTCAATTATAGCATACGAAAAACAATTATTGTGACCGAAGACAACTAGCCTATATTTTATAATATATTTATATTGATAATAAAATAATTTATTATAATATTATGATAGATAGAATATTTCTGCCGAATATTCAATATTGCAATATTTATAAATAATTTAAAAGTATAAAAAAATCAAAAACTAATACAATTTTTAGCAATACATTTATATATAATATGACTTATAAGTATGAAATAACTTTAAAGTTTTTTTTAGCTTCAAAATTAAAAATTAATGTTAAATTCTAAAAATATTTAAGTATAATAAATATACTATTGCACTATTTAAAGTAAATTATCGTATTCAATGTTAATATCAATGTGGATTTTTGTCCTAAATATATTGTAATTATGTATTTTTATATTTAAATAAAAACTTGTAAGATTTTTTCAGTTTTATCAAAAAATTTTATTTTTTCTGGAATGTCAATCCTTATATAATCATTTAATATAAGTGTAGACATTTGCAATTATGAATGAAGTATAATATAATAACATAGTATAAAAACTTATTTTAATTTAATTTTAAAATAAAACATGGTATTCACTATTCAACGAATGCCGGTGTTTAGAGATGGGGAATAGTTTAAACCTTAGACTCATTACGTAGATCCCCCCCTTTTCTGTAAATTGGTCAAAAAGGTAAAAAGTAATACTTTTTTTTTTTGAAGTGTAGCTTTATATAATTTTTAAATCGTCTATTAGTTTTTTGGGTCCCACTCGATTGAGCACGATGTACCTACCATATATTTTATAACACAATTTAACACGGAAATTATTAACAATTGATAATTTTGAAATGCTCGTAACATTTGAGATTAAAATATTAAAACATTTTACGTGAGGCTTAATTTAATATTTTTAACTTTAATTTTGAACGTAAATTTTGCTTTTTTGTGTTTGTATAACAACAATATAAAATGGTACGTTATTTTAATGGTTATTTTAATACTATTTAATAGCTTTATTTTACTTTTTATAAATGAAAATTAATTTGGAATTGAAAAATATAATATCTACACAGAACCAGACTAATTAAATGTGTAGAACATTTTTGAATTTTGTTAATTTATCCATCGATTTATCCATCGATGAAATCATTAATAAGATGTGTCGAAAACTAAGAAAATTATTAATTCATCTATGATATAAATGTAACCAATGAATAAACTCATGTAAAAAAAATAAATATTTTTATAGAACACACACACACACACACACACACAATTATTATATTATTATTTATTATATATAATCACCCAAACGCATAGATACTGTTAAATTATGAACATGTAATATATTTTGATGAGCATATTATTTTCATATTATTTCGTCAGTGTAATATTAAATAGTTTTTATTTCTCACATAATATTATCTATAGGTGATAAATATTCTAACACATGCGTTAATGATGACGGAGTTTAAACACAGCAAACAAACAGTTATTCAATAACACACCTCAGTAGGAGGGTCGAAAACCTGATATTGTTATCGGTGAATAAATATTTGTTTATTTGTTTAGTTATAGAGATAATAACGCAATGATAACTAAAAAAAAAAATAAGGTGGATTAATGAAATGGAGAATCTTCCTTTCTCTTTCGTACTACTAAGCATACAGCTTATTTTAATCTATTTGAAAATTACTATTAATATCAGATAATTATATATATATACATAAGAGAATATGTATTATATATTTATATCTCCCTATTATCAATTGATGTTAATTCCCGTTTAGTGATTAGTACCCTTGTCTACAGTTTTTTTTTTACATTATCTTGTATATCAACTCATTTTTATGGGTAGAACTCGGTATTGTATTTAATAAATTAATCAACAACCATATAAAACATACGTGCAGACAGGTTTTAAAATTCTCAAAACAATATATCTGTTTTTTTTATATTATATCCTATACTTTTAATTAAGTTATAACTATATTTTTCATATTATCTAAGACATTTAGTCTTGGACACACAAGCAATGTTTACAAAGCACTTCTAATGTTATTATGTTATCATTTAAAATGAATAGAATAGTATATGTAAATCTATTGATGATTTATTGATGATTATGTAAATCTATTGATAATGTTGGCTATATTACATTAAAAAATTAGAGTTTATATTTATTTTTTATTATTAATCATGTATTATAATACAAATAATATATTCATGACAAAGATAGATTTTTAAAATAATAGTATATATTAGTATGTTTAATTTATACTGAATACTAAAATGACAAAATGTAATTTACTAATACTTCACAAGTTTAGATACATGTTTTAGTTTCTAGTCCTAAATAAAACAGAACAGAGTATATGTGTAGTATAAATTATAATGTTGAGTTAGATGTATGGAATAACTAGAAATAATAGAGTAAGACATTAATTAATTTGGGTTGTAGGAGTAATAAAAGAGTAGCATCAACTATACATAAAATGAGAAAAAATATATTGTTATGGTTTGATCATATTTTGAAGAAAAATGATTTAGAAGCAATGATAAATGTGTTTTTACTTCTTAATATTGGATTAAAAGAATTATTGGGAGAAATGTATATTTCAATAATAATATAATAGATCCGTGGATTTTATTTGCATAAAATATATCTAATTTTAAAATTAATGTTTTTATATTTTTAACTATGGTAATATCATAGTTTATAGATTATAATACATTATACTATTGAATAATTTATATAGAAATTATGTACTTAGTGGTTTAACATATTCAATATCAAAATTACTATTATGGATATAACACATATACCTTTACCACTGATACCAACGACCAATAGTGATACATGTAAGTAAGACATGGCCATTAACAATAAGTGATAAGAAAAAGTTTTTAATATATGAATAAAAAAAAAAACTCTAAAATTTATATGAGTCAAGCGTTAATAGACAAAGAAATATGAATGAGAGAAGAAAAATATTAAGAATCACAGGAATGGCTAGTGGTTTAGTTACACTAAGAGAGCAGAGACAACCTATTAATAAAAAAATATTGGTAGAAAAAATAAACAGACTCAGCACCCAGTTGATGAATATAATTACCAATAAATATTGCTTATAAGTTGAATTATATAATAAAACGATGGAGAGATCTGTTGAAAGCAACCATAGTCCTTCATGGACAATTTAAGTAAAAAAGAAAATATTCAAAACATATATTATATTATAAGGGGTCTTAAATGTCATATTTTAATTTGCATTCTATCATACCCCACATGTAAAAATTAAAATGACTATTTAAGTTATTAAAATTAACACTCTTTATGTACGATGGCCTCTTCCATAAGGAAACACATTTAGTAATACTATAGTTGCAATAGTTCAAATCACAATAGTTTGAAAAAAAATCAAATTTATATTTATTCTCCTGAGATTTTTATTGAGATTTAACTTTAATTTTTTATTATTTTAATATAAATTATTTATTTGTAATTAATTACAAATAACAGTCTGTGATTTTATCTAATCATCATAAAATAATTAAATATATATAAAATTAAATAAACAAATATTATTTACTCACCGCATCTGCTAATTGTTCATACATTAATCCAGACATATAATTATAATTTTGTTTTTCATTAACTACCACTGTTCCGTGTTGTGGCTCAATCCAACATTCTGTTATTAATTGGTATTCATCTTCTGTTTTATGTTTTGAGCAACAATCATTACTATCACCAGCAAAAGAAACTATATGTCTCCCTTGTTTTTGACGCTTATCAAATTTTTGTTGCTCTTCAAGTGACATTATTGATGAACTTTCATCCTCATTATTTTCCAAGTTTAATTGATCAAAAACACTATTATACTCATAAGTTTTTGGTTGCTCTTTTTGTAGTTTGTTAGGCGGAAATAAAACATATTGAATAACACAATGGCTTGTGGGTGTACTAGGACAGTGTAGTGATCCCTAGAATAAAATTAATATTATTATTCATTTATTTTTTACAGAATATTAATTTTATTTTTAAATTTAACTTTTATTATTTTTTTAAGGTTAAAACAATGCAATTAGATCATTAAAAAAAAAAATTGTTATCTAAATTAGATATTAAATACTAAAAGATCACAGAGTACACTAATTGATTTAGTTTTTCTAATTGAGTAATAATATTTTAATAATATAAAATGTATCTAACATATAACTTTTTGTGTTATTAGACAAATCTTTATAATGATTAAAATTTATATTGCTAGCCAGAAACAACTTGAATCATAATTCAAAAAGATTTTAAAAATATTACAAAAAAATGTATCTAATATAAATAATATTAATGGTCAACAAGAGATATACATTTTTTTAAATCCTTATTTATATTAAAGATCGTTACAAAAAAATAAGAAAACTGAATGTTTAAATTTTTTACTGAAATTTATCATACATTTAAATATTTAACTTTTAAGACCCATCCAAAAGCGTTATAAAATGTTTTTACTGATTATATTGTGTACTCAATTACACATTAACTTTACATTTAGTGTATACTAACTTCTATCATGTCAACTTCTAAAACCATGTTAATAATGCCGGCAGATGAGTGCGCAAATTTGAAACCTTCTCTAAGTCGTATTCTAAAAATTAAATTAACAACACAATAAAAATATTTTAATACAATACATAACAAAATATTTATTATTTTATATACATGCATTAGTTATTAGCATTATTAATAAAATAGTATAGCCAATATAATGATGAAATATAAGATTACGCGTTGTTAAATTACAAATAGGTATATTAACAAAAGAAATTATCAGGATTTAAAGAAATTTTATTTTTATGATAAACATTTTTTTCAACTACAGTAATGTAAAAAATGTAATTTAAGGAAAAAATATTTTATATTTTTTAAAACACTTATTAAATAGATTTTATGTTTAAAAGAAAGATATTTTTTTGCCATTTTAACATAGATCAACTACATTTTTATATGATGATTTATTGCTACTTTTATACATATTAATAACAATAAAATAAATCTATTTTGTGAAGTTTAGGTTATCAGTATCAGGTTTCTTTAGATCAATTAATTGTAAAATCATAAACTGTAGCAATTTTAACAGGTGTAAGATGATAACTAAATTAATTACGAGGAATGATTTAAAAGACATAAATGTTTTCAAGATAAACTATATAATTGTTAAGAACTGAAGATAAAATATCTCAATCATGTTAAATGTATATTTTATTTTTTTTCAATTTCATAACTACCTAAGAAAATTATCTGTACATTAAAGGACTAAAACAATGAAGTTATTTTTGAATAATTTAAATAAAAGGTTTATGAGAATTTCCAACAAAATTTGTTTAAAAAAAAAGTTTTGAAGATAAAAATTTTAACATTTTGAATACATCTTAAATTTTTTATTATGTTTTCAAAATAAAATAAAATTATATATTTTTTTTTTTTACAAAAATTATAAAAATAATACACTTAATACAAAATATGAATCTAAATGAAATTTTGTAAAAAATATTTATTTTAATTGATATTTAAGATGTCGTTTACAATTTCTGTGAGACCTTAAATTTTATTCTATGAAATAATTTATGTAATAAGTCCTGAGTATTTTATAAAATGTTCTTATATCATATAATCACTAAAATTAATGCAGCAAGTGATTAGATTTGTATGAAAATACCTAGATAATTCTTTTACATAACTAGTAAATCTTAAAAATAATATTTATATCATACCTTGTCAACACTGATAGAGTACGAGCCAATTGCAGTTGTAGTTGTAATTTTTGAGACACACTATTACTACATTGACTATAACGATTACATCCACTACTCCAGATCCACCGTTTATGATACAAATAACGTGAAAGAGTAGTAGTGGTTGATACAGGTTTTGATTCTACTCCAATTGATGATTCATAAACAGTATCACGGGAAAGCCCAATATTTAATTTGGACCTTGGCTTTTGTAAATTTATTGTTGTTACAGCAGAAGAGGGTTGTGAACCATCAGGAAATATCACGGTAGTGAATTCTGAAGGAATCCGTTCATATCTTAAAATTAAATTAAATTTAAAAATGTATTATAATTCTGAACGGACAACTTATTCAAAATATTTTAATTTATTATTTTACCTAATTAAAATCTTTTCCAAAGGTTTATCCATTAAATACACATATCTTTGATGTTTTGAAGTTTTATTTAGAGTTAACGATTCTTCAATAGTAATTGTATTAGCTGTTTTGTCATTTTCTTGATCTTCAGTAATCTGGTCTTCAAAAGAAGACTGTTTCATTGTAGTAGTTGAATCCAATAGTTCAATATTTTTCTTCAACTCATCCATAATCTATAAGAAAAAAAATAAATTGAATTAACTTTTAATAATAATAAAATCAATTAAGTATTTTAACCTTATGGTGAACTGAAGCTGGTACACAACTTTGAAATGCTAAATGCAATACTACACAACAGCAAGATGGTGGCCTAGGTGAAACTCGTGCAATACAAAATGATACATCATCAGTATATGTTTCACTATTAATAAAAACAAAAGTTCAATATAATAAAATTATTAAAAACAGTCTACAATTATACCTTTGGTCTAAACATTTTACATAAGAGTGTTCATCAATTAAAACAAATGTGCACCATTGCTTTAGCAAAGTGTATAGCGCTACAGATGATTTATTGCAAGTCAGTGTTTGATGACTATCATTATCTGTTTTTTCCTTATGAAACCACTGTGGTAATGATCGATCATGTCTCAGCAATAATACACCACCGCCGATTCTATAGGTAGAAAACCATTTGGGCCATTGAGTATCAGGATCTAATGTACAAACAGGTTTCCAAAAATCTACAAATCGTTGATGTTGTTGATCAGTGTAACTTTGTTGTTGATCACTAAAATACAGTATATATTATTAAAATGTTTACAAACATTAAAAAAGCAATTCAAAACTCACTCTGTTTTAAATTGATTCTGCTTTAAGCAATATGATGTGTTTGAATTAGTTACTAAATAATAAAATAATGGTACACCATTAAATAATGGACTTTTATTAGGAACTTCAGACGTCAAAAAATTAAGCAAGTTTGCTTCTGTTTTCTCAGTACTAAACACTGTATCTGTTTTAGAGTTGCTACTATTTAAGTTACTTGGAATCACACTAGAATCATCTAACTGCAAGATCTGAGGTGTTTCTAGTACTTGAAGATTTTGTATCACCTGTGACGTTGATTCTATTTGTACTGTTTGTTGATTTTCTTGTTTTTGGAGTTGTTGATCTTGAACTTCCTTCTGTTCTATCGTTTGATTACAGTTGTCAGATTTACTTAAATGACCTGTACTAGGAGAATATGCTTCCAAATGTTTAACCAACAAATCAGTTTGTGCTATGGAATGCATAGTTGACCAAAATCGAGTAATTAAAGCTTGCCTATACTTAGAAGTTACTTTCTTTCCGATACCACTGTATGATTTATCTGGCAGCAAATTCAAATTTCTTGTAATGGTAGTTGTAGCAGTAGCAACAGAAATGGATGATGATCGGCAGGATGACAAATGAAATTGGCAATGTCTAGGTATTTTTGACAATAACTGAGAATTTTTTGTTCTAGTGCATGTTATGTCATGTAGAAACTCATATGGACCTAAAATTTATAATCATATAAATGCATAAAAACAATTAATAATTAATAGGTAATAAAACATCATTGTTGTACCTTTTACTGAAACAGTGTAATAGATATTTAAACTATCTAAGTGTATAGGTGCAGGTGGTTGTGTTGTTGATGTAGATGGTTCTACTAATTCTGGTTTTTCTTCAATAACTATTGGTTCAATTTTTTTTTTTTACTGATGGAGGCCATTTCACAGTTATATCATACTCTATATATATATGATTAGTCCATGGCAAAATTAATTTTAGTTGTAGTTTACTTGAATTGTTCATATGAGGAACAGCAGTTGAATTTCCTGCATCTTTGAATTGTATATCCTATAATTATTTATTTCTTAAAAATATGTATGACATTTTATTGTTGTAAACAATACAATAATATTTAACTGAAAATAAAAAAATTCAACATCTATAAATACCTCAATAATAAATCCTTCACGCAAACGACAACACACTATATTATCAAGATTTGCTTGAATATGATCACTAAATTGTTTTTTCGTAACTAATTGTGTTTGTCTATTACCATAAAAATTTGAATTCCTAAAACAAATTATTATTTTTTCATTAAGATTTATTGGGTCAATACACCGTCAAAAATGCATATAACAAAAATGGTAGAATCTACAATTTGTGTAAGAATACATTTTTGAAATACAGTTAAGAAAATGATTAAGATTACAATTATTGAAAATTGAATAAAATTAAATAATACTAATATAAACTATAAAAATATAACGAATACATTGATTGTATACTTTCAATTTAGATTCTTATCAAAGCAACTTAATAGTTTTATTTTCAACTTTGAGGGTCTCTATAAGTTATTGAAAAATATGATATTTTAGAGATAATTTAAAAAATTTGGCAGAATCTAATGAAAATAATTTTAAAAACAACATTTTTGGTAAATTTTGTCTTGTTTTAATCAAAAAAAAAAAAAAAAAAATAATAATAATAATAACTACCACAAACTAGACATTTTGCTAAACATTTATGTTGGTGTTTTCTAGACATGATATTTTCAAAATATTTAAGGTAGTTTAAAACAATAATAAATATTTGAAATTTTCTAGTTTTACAGTATTTTTTTCTCAATAAATGTTTATCTTCATTTTTTTTTTTTTAATCAAAATACTTAAATATTAAATAAAAAGATGATTGATTAGTTGTTATGATAATTAAAAAATATTATGTATTATGTGTTATAAGCTTTAAACGATAATATTATATTAGTTTATGAATAAAAAAACCACAGTTGAGCTATTATTTAATAAAATATAAATACCTACATTAAAATTTATAAAGAGGAGAAAATATATCAGATGTTATATTTTTATATTAATATAGAATATTCAGAAAATATCAAATGTGATCTTGTAAAAAAAAAGTAATTTAACTGATACTTAATACTATGGTTAAGTATCAAGAAATTAAATAAAATTATCACTTATCTCTACAATTCAGTAAACCTTTTACCCTTTTTAAATTACTATCACATACTTCAAAATTATTTTTAAATATCTATTTTTGTTTTTTAAAATAATACATGTAATATATGCGCAAGATATACATATAAAATATTTATTAATACCTTACTGTCCATTCACCAGGACGAACACGTGGAGGTGTGCAACTAAGATTTGTTGTATTGTTTGAAGACTCATCACCATCTCCTCTTTTAAATGACCACATGATGAATTTATCATGATAAAAATTAACAACTAAATTAGGTGTTGTTTTTGGAAATGAGTTTAAGTAAGTACCAGACGTGGCTGTTGCTATAAGCTGCATTAGTTCAGAGTACGGCACATTTCCATGACCTGAATGTGGGTGAAATTGGCTAGACACATGCAAAAATGAGCATGCCACACTTATACATCTTAATTGATTTAAAACTGAATCAAGCACTTGTATGTCAGCTAAAGTTATCATCCCATCAGTAATAACAATTAAATCTAAAAAACAAACATCTTTACACTATATGTATTATTAAAACCAAATACAAATAATATTATGTATATATATATATATATATATATATATACAGTAAATCATAAACCTACTTATTCAATAATTTCTAAGTGAATATATACATATTTAATACACATTTATAAAACTTAAATACTATTTTAAACATATAAACTACCAAGAAAACTAGATGATTTTAGAATAGTATTCTATTCTATAGTTAATTACATTAAAAATATTTTTTATTCGATACTACAAGAACAATTTTTACATAAATATTCATAAATATTTAATTACAGAATAATTTCTCAAAATTTTAGGAACATTAAATTAAAATTATAATATTACAAATTTAAATAAAAATGTATTTAACAAAAAATAGCTTACTTGATATGCTTGATTGAGGTAATAATCTAACAGCTAACATCCCATATCTTAAAGTATTTATAAAACCTGAATCAGGATTATTATTAAATGTAGGTAGTAAATTTGAATCACTGTTTGTCGAATTTCGATGATGATTTGTATTCGAGTCATTGCTCACTAGAGTATTATTTTGATTTTCATCATTAAAATACTAAAACAGAAAAATAATATATTGTAAAATGTATATAATAATAATTATCAGTTATACTTTTTTTATTATTTCAATTATTGGCCATATAAGAACTAACATTTATTTAGAGTACTAAGTTCTATTCAAAGATAATTTTTATGATATATGAAATTAAATTTAGTTTTTAGAAATATTTAAATATTTTTATAACCAAAACAGTTGACTTTACTAAGAGAAAAAACGCCACATTTGTATGTGTTAAGTCAGATTTAAATATAAATCATTTCAAATTTGAGTTAAGTAGAAAAAATTATTAGTTGTTAGTTAAAATATTAGAGTGAATTCATCCATTATAAAACTAAGTAAATTATTTTTGTTCTCCTATGAATTTTTAAGCAGGATATGAGTCAATACTGTTTTACCAAAGAACAGTGTAAATTGGTTTGTGATATATATATATATGGGCAATAGTTTAAAATTAAACTAAATGTTATTAAAGTATCATTATGTGTATGATATATAATAACATAAATTAAAGTTTACAGTTTTCATGAGTAATATTTTTGAATTACAAAATAAGAAAATTGATTTTGTCAAAAACTGGTTTTTGTAGAAAAATCCCATTTTTCTCAAAGTTAAGAAAAGTACTAAAAATGTTTAACTTTTAATCCTCAAGTACCAATTAGATTCACTTTTCTACCAAAAACTATGTTGAAATTGAAAATCAAAGTATATTTTATTTTTTTATTGCACTAAAAGATGATAAGACAAAATTAACAAGTCATTGTAAAATTAATTAATTTAATGCTTGGCTAAGAATCCGAAATTAATTTTTCAAGCCTTATTCAAATTTCTTAATTTTGTTTTTTTTTTAATGTTATAGTTAAAGTATTGCTTCTTATCCTGCATTGAAGATACTTGAAGGTTTTGGAGATCCTAACTTGAATATGCTACTGATTAATAAAAATTATAAACTAGTATTATAGAACAGCAGTTCTTAAACTATGGTTTGTGGTCCATGACCCCCACAAGTTCCAAAACACTCATGTTGGAGGTTCACGGGGACTTAATCGGTGGTTTAAGCTTGGACACATGCAGTAAGATATTGTATTAAAAAAAAAAAAAATGTATTAGAAAGAAAATTGGTTATTTCTTAGTGTTTCATCAGGAATCCATGTTCTAAAAAGGTTTACGAAGCGCTGTTATAGATTATAGTATTAAATTAAATAGCAGACCCAACAAACATTAAACAGTTAGCAAAGAAATTTATTTAATAGTGGAGGCACTAACTAAAACAAAATCAATGGCAACAACAACCAAACCTAATATAGTAATATTTAAATATGGCTTTGATAGATATTTTTTAGGTATTTGTAATAAATGGAAAAAAAACATATTTATGTTCCCTACCTTTGGTTTGCGGGTAGTTCTTTTAGTCATTGCTAATGAGTTTTCAAGACGATTCATTTCTGTTGTAATAATTTTAATAAACTCTTGAAAGTTACGATTATTGATAAGCCATCCTTGTACCAGTACCTAAATTTTTAAAAATTAACACAAATTACACATATTTATTTAATAAAATATTTCAAACCTGTTGAGCTGGTGAGGTGTAAAATGGTGTATGTACTATAACTGTGACATAAACTTGTGGTTCAAAAACAATTTTATCAGATCCAGGGACAATAAACTATCAGTATAAAAATAAATGATAAGTAAAAAAAACAATAAAAAATAAATATATATCATACAGGCCTGATAAACCCTTCGATACTTCTACGTAATGCCACATTCATCTCATCAAGCATAACATGACATCTTTGAATATCCTAGGCAAAAATAAAATCAAACCAGATGTAATATTTATACAATAGTGAGCAAGTATTCCAAGTATTCTTACAACTGAACAGTTTGATGGACTCATATCTAAACAATACACCATATTATAAATGGCTGTTAGAAAATAAACACGAGTAAACGCATCCATAACAAAAATAGAATTTGCAAAGCTGTCTTTATCCAAATTTTCTTCTCTGGGTATAAACGACATTATTTTACATTGCTCAGGCGATTCAGCATCTAAGTCGTCATCTACCATCTGTATGGTTCCCAAACGTTTCAAATACCACATGACACGCATGTCTGCGCTCATCGATCTACCCTTGTCAATTAGTACATACACGCACGAAGCAAGAGCATAGGATCCCACTGGTAGTGGTGCAGCATAAGTAAACGTCTCAGGTCTGTCGTCATCCTGAAGTGCACAATTAATTATATTCGAATATTAAAGTGAATAATATGTAACATAACCATTGATGGAGCATTGAACATTATAGAGCAAGAGCAGAAGGATTTACCTGCGTCTGGGTGGGGTTGAGAATTACAGAGAGTACCGAACCGCAATCGGAATCCGTCGACGATGTTATTAAGCTACTGCAATTACTGTTATTATCCCAATCGTCCGTCTCCTCCATCGCGTTTGTGGTTGGCGTATAATTATTCCGTCATGTATGCTGTGAATGATATTAGGTACCAACACGACTAATCGTTTCGTACGCTACGGAATACAAATGAAAACTGGTCATTTCGGTTTTATATATACACAAGCATTTAATTATACAACACATTGATATCCACCCGTATTTAACTATCTATTTGCATTACTCGCCTACCTGTGTGCGTATAATAATTGTATCTGTTCACGGTCAGTCGTCCGGCTACAGCTACCCACAGACAGAGATTATTATTGTTATTAACGTATTTCGTCAGCAATCATCACAAATCATACAAAACGCGCAAAAACAGAATAATAACTATTATTATTTATTATTATCGTCGTGTGAATTTGTGATAATGAACGGTTTTCCGCATAACAATAATTTCGTTTGATACGATAATGATAAGGCAATGCCCGTCCGCACGTGCACGTAAATGTTATTATTATTATTATTATTATTATTTAAAACCGTCGCGCAGCGATAACGCAATAGGCAATGCTAAATGCTACTACAACTGGTGATAGTGGTGGTGGCGGTGGTGTCAGTGATGGACGAAATAATGCGAAATGAAACAACTGTAACGGCCATTAGAACGTAAATTAAGTACGATATAATTTCTGTGCACTAATATCGAAATAATGCTACAGACAGGACTCGACGACTGCGACTACCGGCCGGAATCACAATAATACACCAAGTGGTTTGTAAAACATGATCAATAGCTAATAGCCAATAGGAGGTACTATGTACCTCTACTCGAATAATTCGTGAACCGCACGGTACAGCCGCCGCACTGCTGCAGACCAACAACGAATTAATACTGTTTTATCGTCTTAGTTCTAGTTAACAGCTAAGAAATGTGTTAATGTATAATTATACATACCTACTTGATCGGTCGACCGTAAGTCCGGAACACTCTGCAGCCGTCGTCTTCCGCTTCCATTGTTTTGTAAATACACGAAAGTACGTTTTTTTCATCATACCTAGTCCGTACAACGCGAGAAAAGTATTAGGTATACAACGAATCCTCATCGAAAAAGGCAATTATCCATAACACTAATCTCACATCGTAAGTTCTCCGAAATGTTTATTTGCCGGACGTAAAGGAATAGCTTAAGACAGATCGGTCCTCCGCGCAATAGTAATTTCAAGTCATATTGCAGCTACATATATTTTATTCAATTTGATTTTTGATGTTTTATTATTTATAAGAAAAAGAATTTCATATTATAGTTAATAGTTGGCTATTAAAACTTACTGCATGCTGGGAATGACAAATAATAGTTTGATAAGTTCTTTTTAATGTAATCTCGGCAGTGATGATTTTTCCAAGTATGTATATTTCGTCATTGGTATTATCGAAAAATATAAACCGAAGCCTATATTAAAATAAAAAATGTTTGTGAACCGTTTAAGATAACAATATCAAAATACTCTAAAAAGTAAAAAAATTATTAGATATTAGTTATTACAGAAAACACGTATCAAAATTATCGAAATACATCAAATCCAATACCTTCTATTTTGGTAGTAACTAGTAGGTACTATAAAATATGGATAAGGAATACGTACTATTTTGAAATAAATAAATATATTTTATATAAAATAAAATAAAACATTTTTATATTTACATTTTGTATACAGACTTGTACTTTTATACGACCTTTTAAACAAATCAATAAATAGGTATATAATAACGTTTTATTCATAAATCTTCATTATTTTAATAAAATGAAATAAAATATAGGAAAAAGTTATCCAATAGAAAATTAAAATCATGTCCACTAGAACACAATTCTAAATGATTTTCAAATACAAAAATAAAATATGTATGTATGTACCTAATTTATTAAAATCTATATGATATTCCTAAAACATATTTTAGACATATCTTTAAAACATTCTAATAATAATATATGTATATCGTGCATTACTGCATTTTACGTAAAGAAGTCAGTTATACAATAATCGAATTAACATAAACACTTAGGTACCTTACTTAACGTGGTCCGAGGTGGAAGGTCAAGCACCTTGACATGCACGATACGACGCCGGCGCCTCGTTTGGCCGGACTTGTAAATTTAAATATTGTAAACACCCGTATTATAAGCCACCTGTTGTATGCACAATTCAGACAGAGGAGAACTGAGAATCGGTACCGATACTGGAGGGGTACTCCTCAGTCCTTTCCAGACAATTAACTATATGCGCATTATATGCTTTTATTCAATGATTTTTTTATGGTAATATGATATATAAAACTCTGTAATAGTATATTTATCAATAAATGACATAAACATTATTGTATTACTGCTATTGTCTGTTACCATCATAATATTATGATATGTTTTGATATATTCTATTTATTAAATAAACACATTGTGCGTCATCGCCATACAAAATATTTATTACTCAGCATTACTGTTACAGTGTTATGAGTGTTATGTCATAACCTATGGGCTATGACTTATAAATAAATTTAGTGGGTACAACGTATACAAACCATTTTAACAGTTAAATGTTATTATACAAAAATAATATTTATTAAATCGGTCGGTTTTTCGGATGTACTTACTTAATTTTTGAAATAAAATTATCACCTATTCAAAAATTATACAATAATATTTAAAGAAAAATTTTATGACTACATAAAATATTTCTAAGTGAGTATAATATTTTAATATATATAGGTATAGCAATTTTTTTGTTAATATTTACCATTGCCTATTACATTATCCATTTTATACAAGGTGATTAACCAAACATGCTTTCTTGCCTTTTTAATTTAATAATATAGTTATTCAAAATAATAGCAGCTGGTAACCAATAAGTAACTTGAATGAACAATTAATATTAAGTAAACATATAATATGGGTTCATGGATTCATATATGTTATGATAGAATTTGAGTACCTACCTAATAAATTGAAAAAAAGCGATAATACTGCAGAGAACATTTTTTTTATCATTATCATGATAAGTTATTCCTTATTTTTTTTTTTTTTATATAACTTAATCAAAATAGCTTTTTTTTAAATATTTTATCATTCATAATACTACACATTTTTTTTACAGATCATAAAGAAATTGGTCTACTTCGATTTGTCTATTCGTTAAATTAAATATTTAATAAATATTATTTTATGAATATATTTTATTGTTCAGAATGTGGAAATTCATTTGCAAATTTACCAATACATTTATACATTAATATATTATAGCTAGTAGAATAGTAAGTATTTCAATATTTTCTACCCATCATCATGATATCATTTTATGGTTAATGATATTATAAAAACCGCAAATTTTATCACATTAAAGTTCTATGTATCAAGTATCTATAATGCGAACATAATCAACAAACACAATATGTAAATAACTTGAAAGTCGATGTTGTCGTACAAGCATTACAAATTATAAGCCACAACAGCTAGTGATTTTTATTTTAAATATAATTAAAATATCACGCTAAACCGGTTTGAACTTGGCTGAATGTGCAAGAAGCAGATCTTTCACTAGCGTTTGATTTGAATAGAAAAGTCGAGTAACTTCATTGTTGGCATTCAGTCAGAATATTTAAGCCGTAGGAAACCGTTTTATTTTTTATTAAAGCACACAGTAGATTATTCATAAATATTACGTTGTCAGTTGGTTATATATTTATATATACCTATCTATATATAAATATAAATATGTTAATCATGTTTAAACTTGATTTAAATTACATGACTGTAAAACCTAAATGAAATTAAAACAACTAAAAACCTAATATATATAGTTATTTTTAATCAGATCTTTAAATTTTTTTATGCATTAAAGTATCGTCCACAGTTATAATTAATAACTATTAATTAATAATCATGGATATTGCATAATAGATATAAAATTAATATACAGGTACCGTATTTAGAATTTTATTACTTACCCTTTTTTCAAGGGGCTTAGAGTTGCCATAAAAATCTTATCACTTCTTCATAGCCAACCACAGTTAAGTTATTTTTCCTTAACTGAAAACACACTACACTCACATATAATCATGGCCAACATTCTATGTTTCTATAGTAGAATTTATAAAGTAAAAACTCAATATTATAAATCGTAATAGCAACCCATAAAATTATCAATTAATAATAAATTGATTAGGTAATATTAGGTACTTAACAAAAATTGTTGATTATGGGCAGTTATGACACATAGGAACGTAAAGGTAGAAAAAACCAAATCTTTTTTTTTTTTGTTAACTTGGACGCTGATTTCACTTAATTTGATCGTAGTGGAAATGTTCCACTGGAAAAGTATTCAAAATTTAGTTTAACTTTTTCTATAAAGACAAATTTTTAGAAATTGATGGGCGGATATATCTACAAAATTTAGTAAAAAATTTTTAAATCTGAATTTAATAGAGAAATGCTATAAGATTTTTAAATTTATACATGTACAGTTGTACTAAAGTACATTTTTAATAATTGGACGAATCATAAAATATAAAATAAAATGTATTAGTTGTTAAAGAATTCATAAATGTGAACAAATATACTAATAATAATATGTGTGGTTACACAGGAATAGCAATAGAATAGAAAAATTTTAAAAAATGTATAAAATTGTTTCCCATACACCCAAAATAAATTTTTTTCAAAGTATCAAATATATTTGATTTACTTAAAAACAAGATTTTAGAACTAGCAAATGTTTTTATAAGCATGTTTTTAAAAAGAAATAATGTTTTTCATATCATGACAAAAATTTAAATTATATTAGAATATATAGTTAGTTCCAAGTACATTTTGGTATTTCGCCCTAACTATATTTACATTAATGTTTAAAAATATAATGATAAGATATATTATAAGTTTTTGTTCTAATAATAATAATATAAATTATAATATTAAATACAATTGACAATTGTTTACTTTTACACCAAACACAATTACAATAACATAAATATACGGATTTTTTTAATTTTCTCTTACAATTCGACAGTACAATATTTA